AAAAAAAAAAAAAAAAGAGGGACTGCAAAGGTGCAGAAACAAAACTGTTGGATCTGAGTTCAGTTTAAAATTTTTCTTTAGAAGAAACGTCTATTCCAAATCCTTGCATTCATTCTTATTCTGCAAACATCTAGGCGACCTACTATATGCCAGGTTTAGAACTAAGTTCTGGGGACAAGCCAGTGAACACAATAAGCATTGTCTTTTCTTCCTGATGGTGGGACGGGGCAGTGATGTATAAAAATTACAAAACAGAGTAGGGCACAGTTTAGAGAGTGGTCGGTGCATTTGGGAGAAGACATCAATTACTACGGGTGTACATGACAGGAGGCTCTTGGCTCAGACTTGGAGGAAAAGTGTCCTGGAGGATGAGGAAACAAACCAAAGTGTATTCCAACTGTTTGGGTCAACAGAGGTCACACTGCTACTGTTATTGTCACCTAGGAGGCACAGCGGTCTACTAGAAAGAGTTTGGACTCTGAAGAATTTGTCTACAAAGACCAGTGGCGAGCTTAGGCAATTTACTCAACCTCTCTGCACTGACTCCTCTCCAACCCTCTTCAGTTTAGATGCCAAAGTACCCTGTGACTGCAGAGTAAGCCTGCAAGTTCTTTCTGCTGGTTGAAAATCTACCTGCAACCACACAAGCCTGGCTGACACAACTTGGGAATGATGTCATTTCTCCCCCCACTGCTGACTCAGCCACGGGCGCTAACAAAGACACGCACATCGGGATCCTAAATTAGATTTCCACTGGTGCTCTTGTGTCCATGTGGGATTCCAAGTGCTTCCCAGATTCTGTTTCCAGGACAGGGAGAAACCCTGATTCCATACGCAGCAGACTTGTGTGAGGCTGTGCTATCTTTCGTGTCTCTGTATCTGCAGGAATCCCGCACCCTCCAGGAAGGTTTACAGCCCCTCCTGCGGCTCCGTTGGGCTTCATGCTTTATAGCATTCATGCTAAAAATTCCTGTCCTCACCCATTTGTCCTAGAACTACAGTAGAACCTCCATAGTTGACCACCTCCTTAAGTTGACATAATTTTCATAGATTGGACATGCACCACATGTATATATCAGCACAGTAGGCCTACTTTCTTACGTTGACCACCTCTGTATATTGACCAGTTTGTTACAGTCCATAAGGGTGGTCAACCTAGAGAGATTCTACTGTGTTTGGTTTACCGGAAACGATGGGAGAATTTAGGGCAGTATGCCAAAGTCTCTCAAATAATCCCCAAAGGTGAGATTTACTTCACCATGAATGAATAATAAATTAGCTTTGCTCCATGAAAGTATCATAACCTATGAGTTCGGCCAAGGTATATGGGTTATTTCATCAGTTAATAATAAATTTAATAAGAAAATTTAAATAAGTAGTTTGTTTTGAGAATAAAACAGTAATGAAGAATAGGCCGCCTAGACACCTGTCTCTAATCAGCCTATGTGTCAGGCTTCAGGTTTTCTAAGAATGATCGATTCTGTGATAACTGGAAAAAAAGAGGCTTGGAATTTTACCTACCGGACTTAGCCCAGGATGGATAAATAGTAATACGGCCAGATACTGCTTCAGTTCCAGGGTTAACATATCTCAGAATAACTTGAAACAAGGAGAGATTGGACTTCCCCACATTCAATATTAATCTTACATCATTCTGGAAAATACCAAAAAGCCATAACTATAGAAAAAAAACAACTGGGTAAAAGACATGCTAGCCAAACAGTGACTTTATTCCAGTTTTATTATTTGACTTACACAGACACACAAATACACACATATTCACACCCACTCAACAAGCACTGAGTAGCTCGTAGGCAATAGAAACAGGCGAGCCTAAGGAATGAATGAAGGTCACTTACAGGGAAAGTTACAGTGAAACGCTCCCTCGGCAACTGAGATCATCTTTTGACCTTGTTTGTGATCAGGCAGACAGAGTGGAGTACTAGCTGGACTAGTTTAAGAAAGTCACAGTGACAGGGACAACCACCACTGGCTGGGAGAGATAGAAAGACAGAAGAGAGGGACAGGACAGTATATTATTTCACACCACCGTCCCTGTAGAGAGACCACCCCAGAGCCCACTCCACATAGATGAGAAACCACAGCAGCTAAGGAGAAGGGCCTGACAGTGGTAAAATCTGGCTGTAGGGAATAAAATACACATATTAGGTCTTACGAAGCCTTGTCTCAGTCCCCTGTGCAAGAAGAAGGTTGGGTTCTCATCTTAGAGGAGGGTTCCTTCTGGTCCCCAGGGCTCAGGCAACTCTGTGAGTGCTGTGGAGCCCGTGACCTTGAAGAAAGCAGTAGACTGTTCTAGTTCTGAACCTCTAGGTCTGGCTGTGGCTCAAGGAAAGTCCATGGAGCTTGGAAATTCCCAAATCAGTGGTGCTTTTGGTCTCTCCCCCAGTTCCTTTGGTTAAGAAAGAAAGGGATATTTGCTGAGTAAGATACTGGTAACAAGAAAGACCAACTTTGGGCAGGATCACTTGCTCTGGAAGCAGGAGCTGCAGGGAGCTGGCACTGAGGAACTCCTGTGGGCCCACACGCTTTCTCTGAGTTCATCTTTAAGTGATAGTTCCAAGTTGGAGAATAAAATAAGAAAAATGTATTAGGAGTGGAGTAAAGTTAGTGATGGTTCCAGGGACACCATTAAGGTCCTCTCACTGAAGCAGCTTCCTCAGAAAATCCACCATTTGAAATTCATTCCTTTGTGTTTACCAGCTGCTCTTTCCAGCTGCACACACTTGTGAGAAAGTGGCTGCCATGACAGGGCTCTCAGTCATTCACATCCTATAATGACTCAGTGGAATCCACTGCTTTTTTTTTTTTTGAGTAATGAAGTAAAATCAAAACGCTTATGAAACCTAATTGCTGTATTTGGGGAGGAGGAATAGAGAGTGAGGTGTCTTCAAATTCTAGGTACTATTTAGGAAAGGCAGCTTGGGTGAGAGACTTCGGCCAGGCAAAAAGCAGAATTAGAATCAGGGTGGCTTCCAGGAGAACCATGAAGCTTCCCTGTTTCTCTATGGGCTCCCTGAGACAGAACTAGCCAGTTCCAGTCCGGAATCCGCTAAGGACAGACATTGCGTTACCATGGTTAGCAGTTTACTGCTCTTATTCTGAATTCCTCACTGAGAAATGGCTTAAAGAGACCAACCTCAAAGAGAAATTCTGAGGGCAAAACTACTCAATGACTATATGGAATTTTTTAGTTGTAAATATGGTATAAGCTCTAAAGGAGGAGGGGGACAAAAAAAATAAAGGCGAACCAAAGAATTCCCTTACTCATTTCAGCAGAAGGCCAAGATGGATGGACACAGAAAAGAAGCAGGAAGGGAAGGAGAAACATGGGAAAGAAAAATTAAATAGCACTGACACGCATCACTTATCTTAGTTTCTGTTCACACACTAATTTGGAGTTTAAGAAAGGCCTTGGTCAAAAATTAGCAACACTAGCTTTCCTGGAATGATTTAAGCCAACTCATTTTTATTTTCCCATAAACAGTTTCAAAGATAAATATTCCTCATGTTATAATATGGCCTGATGTCATTTAGGAAATTTTTCTTCTTATAAAACGTCTCCAAAGATAAACACCACTTTCCTTAACCCTTTCATTTTCTGATTTGTTGCCCAAATCAAAGTAACCAGGAACTAAGAAATCTACATATATGCTTATCAATTAAGATCCAGCCCTACCTCAAACCCTAAGTTTGTCTAACATCAACTCCCGCTCAAACTCAAACCCTGGAGAAAATGAATCCTGGGATCGGTTTTGGGGACAGACCACTTTTGGGCTACCCTGCTATGGAGCGGTTTCCTTACAGCCACATACCTGTACTGAGGTCATCTGGGCATATCCTCTCCAGCTAAACTCAGGAAATGCCTGGGGATCAAATCCAAACCGAAGATGTCTTCCATCAGGTGTCGTGCCATCTTCAATCTCATACTTCATATGATGCAAATCTGGGAAATAGTAGTTGTTTTCAGGCCTTTTATAAATGAAAAGTAAACACAGATACAGCAAATTAGGGTCACTGATCATCTGAACATCCTTTAATCCCAAAAGTTACTGCTAACTCTGCTGGGTTGACAGAACACATCAGATAAGGACAATGAGAGAGATCCCCGGCTTTCTCTACATTGTGCTTTCATTCACATAAACATTCACGTAGAACACACCCAACACGTACTCATTCCAAACATCAAAATGAGAAAGTCACTTAGCACAACCCACAGTGGCATGTAAGGTAACCCATATCCTGGAACATGTTCTAAATATTAGGTCATATTAGGTTATTGGCTATTTATTTACTTTTTCACTCATTGCTAGCACTCATGTTCACTCATTACACAAATATTAATACCTATGTGTCAGGCACTGTTTCTTAGCAACATAGATGGAATGGTAAACATGATATAAAATATTTCATATGCTAAGTTTACAAGTTAGATACATTTTTCTCTCTAGTCATTTTTAAATCATTAGAATGACTTTTCTATGCCTTTTTCCCACTTAAACAATATGCCTATTAATGGATTCCTTTCAAAGTCCATGCATGGCAGGCAGAGAGAAGGATCAAAAATATTCCAAAGCTTGTGGGGCATTTAACAGCCAATCTAGTTGAAGTTCTTCAAAATGATACATTTTGCCAATCCAGTTCACAAGCTAATAGCAGTGAGTGGATTTAAAGCTACAAAGATCAATCAGCCAAGAGAAATAAAAGGCCGTGCTCCTATATCACGAGTAAAATGAGGATGTTTACAGGTTTTCCAGAAACAATTCATGAAGATCCTTAAAAATATTCATACCCTTAGACCCAGTTATTCAACTTCCATAGAATAATTTTATAGAGTGTCAAACAATTAACATAAAGGAATGTTTCAAACAGTGGAGACTTGTAAACAGCATAAATATACAATTATAAAATAAATTACGAATACTATATAACCACTAATATTTTTGAAGGTTGATGATAATAAAAATGTTTAAGATGTTATGTGAAGAAACTAATAAAGAGTCTATGAAAAATACAATGATAATTGTTTTTTTTTGAGACAGAGCCTCAAGCTATCCCCCTGGGTAGAGTGCCATGGCATCACAGCTCACAGCAACCTCCAACTCCTGGGCTCAAGCGAGTCTCCTGCCTCAGCCTCCCAAGTAGCTGGGACTACAGGCACCCGCCACAACGCCTGGCCCTTTTTTGGTTGCAGCCATCATTGTTGTTTGGCGGGCCCAGGCTGGGGATTCGAACCCGCCACCTTAGGTGTAAGTGGCTGGCGCCTTAGCCGCTGGAGCCACAGGCGCTGAGCCTACAATGATAATTTTTATTCATCAATAAGATCTAGAAAAAATACACTAAACATATTAAAAGTGGTTATCTCAAGGTGGAGGCATGAAGATTTTTGTCTTCTTTGATGAACTTATTAAAGTATCTATAATGAACATGGATTACGTTTATCATCATAAAAATTATTTAGAAAATAAAGTCTATGTGAATGTTTTCTACACTTGTCAGTACTCAAATCATATCATAAAGAAACGTTTTGGGAGGATTTAGCAAAAAGACCCAAGATCGCCAACCTGGAGGAAAGGCACCAGGCTACCCAGATGGCTGGTTTGCTGTCCTTTAATTCATTTATCACTTGCCACTGAGTCAAAGGACATGATCCAAATCTCAATGAGTGTGTGTGTGCATCATAATGTAAAAAATTAATATTTTTGCCTCAGGTTGGATAATGTAATTCTTATTTGGTTACAACATTTTATCCTGAAAATCAGCCAAATCACTTATACAGTTGGAAAAGAAAAAACATTTGCTGGTTAACTAGGGGAAAAGTTATAAGGGTGAGAAGAGGGAGAACACGGGTGGACAATGTCTGTGATATGTGTGTATATCTGCGAAGTTCCTCTGGCCCACCGTGAATGGCGCTTGTCAGCGGGAAAACAAACCTTTAGCTGTGTCCTTCACTCATTACAAGGGCAGTGTCCACGGGCAATTAGAAAGACCAAAGAAAAGCACAGCTGGTGGCTCTGACGGTTAGCATTCAGATGTTGGAGGCATTGAGGAAGAGCAGAGAAACACCATCCAAATACAATTTACCTTAACTGCATAAAAGATCTCTATATGAATCTGCTGATCACACAAGCAGTGAGGGTACCTGAGATTTAGAAGAAGCTGCATTTCACAGTTTCCAGCATACGATTAAAAGTTAGAACATTAAAACTTGACTTTCTCTTCCCTCCGCTGAGGGGAAATTATTATGGATGGACACAGCTTTGAGATATTTATAAGCTGCTAAAGATAATGGCTGAGGAAAGATTATGCTACCGAGGCTCCTGTGGCCTCCCCGGTCTCCAGCTCCGCCTCACTCCCTCCCCAGTTCCCTCTGATCAGCTTCTGCATAGGATGAGGCCCGTCTTCCCATGTCTATCGTCTTCTTAGCCCCAGTCCTAGCCCCAGCCCCAGGCAACACCCTGGCTTCTCCATGCCCTCACTCCTGGGACCCGAGGGAGAAGCAGGGACTGAATCTTACCAGCCCAGGCACCGTGTGGAGCTGTCCCTTGTTAATTCCCTCTCTCCCCAAGTTGGCCCATCCGCTGGCTCTCATGCCCTGACACTGAGGCCGGGACATGTGAACCCACCTCACCCTCCCAGCTCGTGTCTGGCCCACCAGCTTTTTGCACCTGTGGGAACTCTCAAGTGAAGCTGCTCCCATCTCAAACAGGCATCCAGATTGCAAATTAGGACTGTCTCGCTTCCCCAGAGCAGTAGCACAGGCGGAAATGTCCAAACCCATCTTCCACAAGACGCACATACCAGGAAGCCTCCTGCAGACTCACCGCTGGCACGCCCTTCCCACGACGTGCTCTCGGCACTGGCACACCCCAGAGGGCCCGCTGCACATGGAGGAGAGCGCCCCACCAACGTCACACTGACAGCCTGGAAGTCAGGAAACGGCAGCATTTACCATCAGATGCTTCCAGCGGCCTCCGTGCTGAGCGCTTTCCCTGCCTCCACAAGAAGGAAAAATCACCCCAAAGTCACCAGTGACTGCAGGGGCTGCCTTCTTTCCTCTGCCACTTCTTGTCTCTGGCAGGTGTTTAAATACATGTAGGTAGGAATCCTGCGAACTAAAATAGTGTGTCCCTCCAAAAGTGTACTTCTAAGCCAGAGGTGCCCTGCCACAGGCCAGCTCAAACACAGCTGTCCAATGCACAGGTGACGGTAGCTTAGGGTGTCAACACGATTCAGAAACACAGTGCTGTTGTTACTAAGCTGCACTAACGCGGGGCCATCAGAGAGATGTAGATGTGGGGGTCGCTGTTCCTGCACCTTCCTTATTTACCACTACACTCTCTAAAAACATGGTGTTAGCTTTTCTGATAGTACAAAATATATCTTTACTAGCTCTTGAGGTTATTTATAAAATTACCAGATGCCCTCCCACCCAATTATGTTTTTCATAATTAAGGCAACAGTGTACCAAGCTACAAGAGAAGTGGAAACAACCTCATTGGCAACCATGACTAGTTTCCACCTAGTGTCTGGCCAAATTCCCTGAGCAGGTTGTCTCAGTGCCACCCATCAGAAAGCCGGCACGAAGATAATGACCCCAGAAGAAAGGGTATTCTGACTATCTCTGTCCATCAACCCTGTGCTTTGCTCAGGACCCCTCGATGTGTTACCTTGACACCCAAAGTAATTGCTCTTGTCCAAAGCAAAATAGCCATCTTCACAGGTGTCACAGGAATCACCACCCACATGGGACTTGCAATGACAGTCACCATCTTCCTGCAGAACAATCAGCCGGATGACAAACTTTGGTAAGATTACAGCATTGGAGAATCTTCAAGATTGAAAACTGGCTCACTGTACAATAGGCAGCAGGGATGGCCAGAATCTGAAAAACACTGGCACCCTGCACGATGAGAGAGGGACTAACACTCCCCCGGGAATGGCACCAGCAGTGCTGTAACATTCTACCCTTACCTTATAAAAACGTGGCCCACTTTACCTGCCCACACTCTCCAACTCCACTCACTGTTCCCGCCGTATCACACCGGCATTCTGTGGAGAAAAGAGAGCGTCCTTGAACCAAGGGCACAAAAGACAGTTCCCCAGCCCTGGGAGTGTTACATGCCTGCAGCGTGACAGTGTGCTGGAAAGGGCTGGAAAGTCAGCCTTTCCAGCGTGCTAACTTTCTAGGGTTGGCAGAAGAGACTGATCAGTACCATCCATTTACAAAAAGCAGTGGCTGGTTTATGGCTACTCTGAGACAAAGGCTGCAACATCATAGATTCAACATGGTGCTTACTGTCAAGGTCGTTCAAGGATATTCAAGTCTGTTTAGGACTTGGTGTTGTTTAGTTCTTATTCTGGCTTCAAATAAGCAAAAAGTTCAAATAACATTAAACTAGAAAGAGTAGTTTATAAAAACAAGATGGTAAAAAGAAACTTATCAATGGCTGCCTTTGCAAACAACAAAATACATATACGGAAACAAGATGTAAATCCCTTGCTGAGATTTCGGAAATGACAGAAGTTCTACAAAAAGTGTGTGTGTGTGGGGGGGGGATTTCAAAGCATTACACGGAATTTCACTCAAATCGAACTGATTCAACAAATAGCTCTTTTCTGGTTTTAGTTACTGAGGCAGAGAAAACTAAGAGGAAGTTACAATACGGTGAATTATAATGTAAAAGAAACCTTTACCTGAACATCCATGGGGGTTTTCTGTGGCTAGATTCCAATATAACGGTTTGCAGATGCTACAGGTAGGACTCTCAACATGAAGCTTGCATTGGCAATACCCCTTTTAATAAAAATCAAAGTAACATTTGATATCTTGGAACTGATATGTTTTCAAACATGTGCTCTGAGCACAGGTTTATTGCAGAAATCGATTTTGGCCATGAAAAGTAATTAAATATATCAAGGGAATAAACATACTGGGTTGATTTCAACAGTCTGCTACTTGCTTTTTAAGATTATTCATGTATTCATTATACACATAATGCATGTTTGTGGTTAAAAAGAAATTAGAAAATATAGAGAAACAAAAAATTAAAAAATCATTCTTATTTATAAAGTTGTCAGTGTCTGTTGATGCTGTTATAACATGGGCTATACTTTTAAATGGAAAAATATCTGAATTGTTAACACACTGAGAATCAGGGGAGAATTGTGTTTATCTGAGAGGGCTTTTGTAATACACAAGATTAGCTGCCTTGGCTTCAATGTCATCCAGCCTCATAGTAAGGATGGCAGAGCCTCTGTCCATTTGGTGCCCAGAGCCAGCACCTCTAGGTGTTGAGATCAAGAAGATCAATAATTTTTAGATGTCTTAGAAAACTATCCTAAGAATACCATACTATTGTGTTTGGAACGATATAAAATAAGTTGTCATTCTTTTGTACACAGCCAGCTTCATTCAATGTGGATGTGGCCATTGTTTTTCCATTTTATTAATTATGTCCTTTAGACTTATGTGCAGGGCTCCTTGGTGGCAGCACCCTCAGAGTAACGTGCAGTGAGAGTTAAACTCTAGAACACAAAGTTTAAATGAACCGTATTCTTTTGCTTTTGAAAAAAATCACATCTGTGCTTGGAAAAAGAACAAGGTAGTCTTTAAGCAATTTGGCCCCAGGGCTTATTTGAATTTACTTTTGATTTCAGGAAGCCCCTCCCCCCCCCCCAATTTCATAGGTATCAGTAGTTAGAATGACAGTCCTTTAATAATTCTCTACTTACCAAACTGGAGTCAATCGTACCAGCCGGGTTGCAGGCGTGGCTGAAACCTGTATAGGATTTAGAAATTGCTGAAAATATCTGATGGCTTGTTTTCGCTCTGATGTTTGCAGTTTTAAAAGGTTTTAAACACATATAATGCATATATGTGCATGTTTATGTTTCTGATTGGTGAGTGGCAAAGACTTCATATGCAATTCCCAGTCGGGCATTCCAAATAATATTTATGGTCCTTAATCCCTACATCACCTCTTTTGCCATAACCCAGCCTGCTAATAAAAATTCATTTCTAATTGACAATGAGGGAGGAGATTAGGATAAGGAGATTCTAAAATTCTGAGCATCTTTAGGATTGCCCAGAAGAGGGCAACACGGTACCAAGAGATTTCTAATTGTCCATTATAAAGAAATTACAAGATTTGTAAGAACATTTTTTGGGTAACCAAGGGTTATTTCTTTAATTATCACACCCCCCATGTTCCCACTTGTATACTGAAATTGTTTATAAAATCAATTAGTTTGCTTCATTAATTTAGCATAGCACTATAAACCTAATGTAATCCCTCTTACTGGGATCTTGCAACATCTCTGTATTACTACCACACAGCATTTGAACTGGAAAAGGTTAGGTCGGCCTGTTCCAAGCCTGGTTTTCAAGTCATTTAAATTGTGTTTGCTAAAAAGTTGCTCTTTGGTCTTTTCCCGCTTTGTTTCCTCTTTGTTGCTGTTGGCTTTGGTGTCTCCTTAATGATTCTCATTCTCTTATTCATTCTCTCTCTCTCTCCTCTTCTGTCCCCAACATTTTTCTATAATATTAAACTTAAGCTTCCCATTCTTCTGTTTTCCAACCTGACCACGCCCAGCCTAAGGTTCCTTCCCATCCCAGCCATCTACTCCCGGGATGGCTGTGGCTCTCAGCCTCTCTGCCCAGCAGTCACATACTTCTGTGGGCTCCTAAGGCTAGTGGAGGTAGCAGACCCAGCCTGGGATGCCCTTGAATGCCAGGGACCCTGGCCACAATTTCAAAGAAATCTGTGTGGCCTTGTCTTCAGCCAGCTCTGAAGGTCAGGCTGGATGGGCTGGGAGCATTTTCAGGGGCAGGAGAGTTGTGAGGAAACCAAATTCTCCTGATGAACAAACACTTCTCAATAGAGCAGGAGTCCTCTGAAATCAACAGTCAGGAGCTACTGGCCAGCCCCTGGAGGCTGCCCACACTGGGGAGCTCCGGGAGATTTGCAGGTACCTCACTTCTGTCCCCTCTACCCCAGAGCAGGGCTGACTCTCAATCTCTCATGCCAGTGGAGGGGTGACTACCAACGCTTCCCCTAGTCGTGGGTTGGTTTCCATCTCCTTTCCCCTGGGCTCACTCTCTCTAGGCAGCAAAGACACCCTGAACCCACTCCCCTTCCCCTAACTTCCAGCTGAAGTGTGATAACAGCCCCAGGAGGCCAGAGGCAGGAGAGGACAGACAGAAACACAGCAAAGGCCCCGCTCAGCCTGCCTGCAAGGGGACGTGCTAGGAAGATTCCAACAGAATCTGTGATAGCAGCACCACAACCCAATAAGGAGAGCAGGTCCATGTCTCCAGACAAGCAAAAACAAACGCCCCATTTACCTTAAAGGAGTCACCCTTATTGTCCACAGAAATCTGACGTGTGAACCAAGAAATCCAACTGTATAGCACGTGGAAATTTAAATTTTTTTAAGTAAGGAGCAGACCATTTCTGGATTCTTTGAGGATGCCTATCTGATGTGTGTGGCTTTAGCTGACTCAGACTGGGGAGGAACCAGGCAGATTGAGTCAAATATGGAGACCAGCGGTGGGTCTGCAGGGCATTTCCTTGGGAGGCTCTCTGGGGGCACACGCTCTGGTGAGGAACCAGCCCTCCAGCGTGCTGCTGGCTTCCTTACCTTGGCAATGGGGGAAATCATGGGCTCCTGAGAGACACCTGTCACACCGCTGTCCCGTGATTCCAGGCCGGCATTCACACTGTCCAGTCACTGGGTGGCAAGGTGTCTGGTAGGATCCAAGGGCAGAACACCAGCAAGCTGGATGAAAAGAACTCGGTCACCCCAGGGCAGCAGGGTAGGGACAGAGTTGCATCCTGGATCAGAGCATGGGGTTGGGGGGAGCCAGAAAGACTCAAAGGCAGGTGCCAGCTCCACCTCTTGTGAGATCTGGAACCTAAAACAAGCCACTCAAACTGCTCTACACTTCAGTTTCCCCTTCCCTAAATGGGCGTGACTCTGTCCTCTACTTGACAAGATTGCTGCGAGGATCGAGTAATGTGTACTAAAGGAGCTGGGGACAATGCCTCCCACAGCAAGCCCTCGCTCACTGCTGGCTTAGTTTCTAGTGCTGTTATTAATGTCATATTCAGCAAGAGTGGCAGGTGGTGGGTGAGGGCTCTGGGGATGCTTGTCACACACAGGCACTGACAGTCTTAAAAGGAAGATGGAGGGGACAGCTGCTGGGGGATGTGACTCATGGCAGGGGCCACTCTGATTCCACATCCCCCCGGGGATCGGGGGCCAAACATTCCAGTTGAGATCCTGCTCTTCTCTGACCCCTCTCTTCATACAGCTTTTCTCAAGGTCCAGTGTGGTTGAATAGTCGGGGAAAGCTATGCAGGCAGCATTGGGAAGGGATGGGAAAGGCAGCACCTCGACTTTGGCTAAGCAGATGAATAAACATGCGTGGATGGAGAGAGGAGACTCAGGCCATTCCTCTCTCAGCTCCTTCTTCTCACTGGGGCAGTTCCTACCAATCTCTGCAGCTAAACCCCTATAGGGCTGGAGTCACTTGGTGTCACCCCCATTTACACGGCAAGGGCTCTGCTTCTGGGGAGGGGTGACCAGTGGAAACGAGGGGACTGACCTCTTCAGTGGAAGGGTTTTACATCTTAAGAACTGGAAGCAACTAGAGAGATCATCTCTTGAATTCCACTATTACATGGGGGAAGCTCAGAAGTTAAGTGGCAATTCCAAAGTCATGGAATTAGTCCTCAGCAAAGGGCTTAAGTTTGAGGGATTACACACATCTGGAAACAAACACCAGCTGTGCCACTAGTAAGCCACACAACCATGAGTTAGTTGCTTAGCCTCTTTAAGCCTCAGTTTCCTTTCCTGTAAACTGGAGCTGATGACAGGTCATTTTGTCACGAGGTCATTAGAGAACCACTAGCAGTAAGGTACGAAGCACCATGTCTGGCGCATGTCTTGCTTTTATTATTCTGATTATGCAGGTCCCCAGCGCTTTGGGACGTACTCTTTACACTATCCCATATTGAATTAATGAACAGCAATAAACTCGATGCATTCAACAAGTAACATTTCTGACTTGCAAATTTATATATCCAGTGTACACACACACACACACACAAACCTTGTTATCAAGCTTTCAAAAAGTTGGGATCTTGGAAAAGAAAAGATTCCTAAGGTAAAGTCCCAATTCCAGTGATTTAGTTACAGTGGCCTTGGGATCCAAAAAGCCCCCCATCACTAAGCCTTGGAGCACAGAGCTGTTTCCTTTCTCTTTGACAGGAGTCAGCCCAGCCCCAGGTGTGGCAAGTGGCCCCGGAAGTGCTTTCGAGAAATAATTAATATTTTCCTGAGTTGTCATTGGAAACATACAAATCTCTCACTGATGGAAGGGAACTCAGTTAGCATTCTCATTTACAAATCACCTAGGATTTCAGTGACTACGTGTCTTGCAAAGAAGGACACAATTAGTAGCAGACTCAGAAAATTTGCCACCGTTCCACTCCCCTACTTTACGAGCAGCCATCCAGCAGATGAGCGCACCACAGCGAGGTATTACGGAGGGAAATACAAAAAAACGCAGCCCTCCGTGTCTGCAGGTTCCACAGCCACAGACTCAACCAACCACATATCAAAAATATTCAGGGGAAAAAACAGAGTAAAAAAATACCAATACAGCAATAACATATATATATAGTTATACACTAACATAGTATTGTAACTGTAGCATTTACATTGTATTAGCTATTATAAGTAATCTACTTAAAGTATGTGGAAGGATGTGTGTAGGTTATGTGCAAGCACTACGCCATTTTACATCAAGGTCGTGGACACCTATGAATTTCAGGGTCCAAGAGACGTTCTGGAACCAATTCTCCACGGACAGTGAGGGGCAAGTGCATTCTTTGACCTTAAAGAGCTAAAAATCCAGAAAATGGGCTAGAGAATTACTGATGAAGCAGCCCACTCCACAGGAAACTAAATATAAGAAATGTGTCTAACGTCACTCCCCGTGTTGGCAGACGGCAGAACAAAGACTCAAATCTCTGGCTGCCTTCTCCATCCGCCTCCTCCCATGGCTCCACCTGGCCTGTCTGCAGAGATTAAGTCCCTATCTAGAAGCACATTTCTGAGAAATGTTCATGCGCTTTGTGGTGGTTAATTTTACGTCAACTTGGCTAGGCCAACGGTGCCCAGATGTTTAGACAAACACCAGTCTAGACGTTGCGGTGAAGGTTTGTTTTAGAAGAGATGAATATGCAAATCAGTGGACTTTGAGTGAAGCGGAGTTACCCTCCCTCCTGTGGGTGGGCCTCATCCCATCAGTTGAAGGCCTTAGGAGAAAAAGACCAGTATCCCCTGAAGGAGGAGGATTTCTGCCTCCAGATTGTCTTCAGACGTGAGCTACAGAACCGACGCTCCCCTGGGTCTCCAGCCTGCCGGCCTTGCCTACAGATCTCAGACCTGTCAGCCCTCACAACCGCACAAGCCAATTCTTTAAAATAAATCTCTCTCTCTCTGTCTGCCTCTTACACACACACATACCCCTTATTGATTCTGTTTCTCCGGAGAACCCGGAGAATAGCTCATCCTGCTATTTGTGCCCTAAGGGAAAGTGAAGGCAGAGAGAAAAACACCCATGGAGGCAGTCAGGGCAGCTGCCTGAGCCTTGTGGCAGAAGCTCCATGGTATAATATGGGTGACAGACACTGGCTTCTAGGGCCACAGGTTGTCCAGGGGGCCCAGAGACACAGGTACACTCTGGAGGATAAAACAAAGGCTTGAGCTTAAAAGTATGCATGGTGCTTTAAAACCGTGAACTAATCTGGCATCGTGATTCCCATTTCAATCCAACTGTTATGAAAGTGTCCAAGGCCCAAACCCAGATCCCGACACTGGCACTCCTGTTCTCATTCTTGGAAATACCGTAAGACTTTTAAAATATTTTAACTCTGCTCATTGTTTTGGCCCAGGTCCTTTGGAGTTTCTGGACTATTCTGCCTCTTCGTATCTACTCTTCATTTTTTCCACTTTAAGAAACTTTTACTCCCAAGAAATATAAAAAGTAATGATCACAAAGGTCCACAGGATCGAGGACCTTGTCTGCCCTGCTCTCAAATGTCTTCCAGCACCAAGCACAGTCCTGCTCCACAGTACACGCCAAATTTAACAATAAAAGGATGAGCGGCTGTCAAAACCCTCCCCTGGGTCCATCCCTATATAGGTTCTTGATAGTTTTGCTCCCTGAACCCTCCTGAAGGTGAGGGATGCCACCTCTTCCCCTTCAGTTACACACTCATGAGTGAGGCAACGCTTTGTAGAAAACCTGTAAGTTATAGTTTAACAGAGCTCCTTATCGTGTAAAAGATGCTCTTAGGGCCCATGATCATGGAGCTATTCTTTTTGGTAGAAAAAGCCAGCCAGCTGGCACCTTCTTTAGTCAAAACCACAAAGTCAATGTCAGTTCCCCAATAGGTACCACAATTCACTTCTCTGGAAATGGGCTCCGGGTAAACTAAATCTACAGAAAATCCTTAGCCTTTTCCAATCAATCACCTCAATGTTCTCTTAGACAAAAAGAAAACAACAGAGAAGGGCCAGTTCAAGGCAAAATTGCACAAAACTTGGCTTGCGACTGCCCCTGGAGCGGGGGGAGGCTCACTCAAGAGCATCCCAGGCCAGAAACCCTTCCCAGAACCATTCACCGCCAGCTGAGTGCCCCTGCCCTCCTCCCTCCGCTGGTCTGTCTGACTCTGGGAAGACACAGGGACTCTCTCATCGGCAACGTATTAATAAGACTTCTCTAAGGAAAGACTGGTTACTACAACTTGAAGACAACATCCAACTCTAACGGTTCTGCCCCCTGGGTCAGGTTAGCAGCTGAGGTTGGGGCAGCTGCACTTCTGGTGCCCTCAGCTCACAGCCATGAAGGACCACATTGCACAGTCCCACCCTCCACCCTCTGCTGTAAGCATTCATCAGCAGCTGGCTGGCCAACTCTCTAGAAAAGAAGGGGAAAGGGGACTGAGAGGAGGAAGAGAGGAAGAGAAAAATGAAGAGAAGGGGAGAAAAGGAGTAGAGGAAGGCAGGATGAGGGACAGGGAGGAGGAAAGGAGAAGAGTACCCCCCCAATAACCGAGTTAACCCAGAGAGTTACAACTTCATTCTGTGGTTGAAGACAAAGAGTTGAAACACACATAAATATAAATGGTATATACACGTAGACAATTCTCCAGTCTGGTCTCATATCTACAAGTTGCTTTACACCTATAAAAAAGAAAACCACAGGGCAGGCACTTCTGTGAGTCAAAGTCAAAATGAGAAGAATACGGCATTGTACTTGGAAAGGTCTGGAGTGAATTAATTTAACACAAAACATAAATCTAGGCCGGCAGTTGGCAAGAACATCTTATATGAGTTTTTAAATTCTCTTTAAAGAAGATTTTAAAAATCTTGGGAGCAATGAAACGCAAAGTCATAAGAATATTTGTCGGCTGGGATGTACTAGGTCAGCTGATACAGTATTGGGGACCACGTTGATATGATTTTAAATTGCAATGGGTAATCAAAACTCTCTTTTTAAAAAATCACACAAGCTGTTAGGGAAAAAAGGTGGGCTCCTCGGGAAGGGAGACCATCACGGACAGAATGTTGTGTCCCCTCAAACTCTGCCCAGAAAGGTTCAAACCTGACACAACAAACTGCAGGTAACCCTCAGAACCACACTGGGAGGGAGGTGGGCAGTAGATTTCCTGCAGGATTCAGAAAACAGCTCTGAAGCAGGCACC